CAGGGAGCCCAATGTGGGACTCGATCCCGGGACTCCAGGATCATGACCTGAGCCGAAGGCAGTCGCTTAACCAACTGAGCCACCCAGGCGCCCGGCTTCATTAAATCTTTACACCATGATGATTCACAATGGTTTCATTCACCTATAACTGCCCTGCACGGTCCTCTTCAGATACACCTCCACTGCACCATCTGCTTGTACCAGTATCACAGAAAGCCAACACTTAGGAAATTTTACGGTATTGAACATGGAATGAGCGGATCTGAGCGCCGGCCGCCCCGCCCAAGCCTCATACCTGTCCCGGCAACACGCGGGGTGGTGAGAACACCACCAAGGATCGAGAGGAGACCAAGCACCCGACCAAGGTCTCCCAGCTTCCGGGCCGACCGGAAGTTCTGCTTCACAGCCCGTCTCCTTGCTCGTGCCGCGCTGGATTCTGGGAGTCCGCTAAGCTGCGGTGTGCGCATGCGTGCCCCCACTGCTGTGGTCCGGAGTCCTAAACACACCGCGGTCCTGGCCAGCCAGAGGCCGCGCTTCAGTAGCGAAGGGCGGGTGTAGAACCGGGAATGCCTGGGTTGGTAAACGAGCCAGAAGCCCTTATCCAAAAAAGCGTGGTCTCCTCTCCCCATGTCTCGGGACTGGCGTAGGTTGGGGGGAAAGTTTTCGCGATTAAGGACGCGCATGCGTAGTGGCGACAGCGGAGGCGGGGCCTCAGCTCACTGTGTCTCCGGTGTGTGCGTTCGGAGGGAACGCGGTCGCGAGTGTTGGAACACGCATGCGTGCGGTCGTGGAGGTTGGAGGGGGTGTGTGTGGAGGGGTTGTTGCGCGGGCGCAGAGTACCGCGCCGCGGCTCTCTGGAGGGGTAGGGGCGTTCTGAGGTCGCAGGTAGGGGCTTCCGCGCGGTGTGGAGTAGACTCTGGGGGAGCGTCCGTGGCGGCGGGTACTGGTGGTTGCTGCGGGTGTGGGACCGGGGTGTGCGTTGGGGTGTGGGTGTCTCCCGTGTGGCCCTGGGGGCGCCAGTGTGGGTGTTGCAGGGACCACTCTTGGAGCTGCGGAGAGGCTGTGTGACTTTTCGCTGCTCCTGTGTGAAATGGGACACTGCTTCTTGAACAGCTAATAGTGTCGTGAGGATTAAATGCCCGAAATGGTGCCCAGCCCCAAATAAGCAGGGGCCTGGTTGGAGTGGAATGATTTTTCTTTTCTTTCTTTCTTTCTTTCTTTCCTTTTTTTCAGCCAGATCCGGGTTTTCAGAATCAACCCTGGCGCTTAAATCTGTCAGATGAGGAAAACCAAATCTGTTTTATAGCAGTTGTGCTGGTTAAAGAAAGATGACGTGCAGAGGGCTCACTTCGGTTATGATAGTACGGCTGTTACTGTTACTAAATGTGGGATAGACATAGGCTTGGAGAAGTGAATGAAGCGTGCACCTGAACAGCTGTGGAACATGCAAGGAGTTGTACTTGGCAGCCACTGGAGTTCACCGCTCCTTCAGATTCTGCCCCAGAGCTCTCTTTCGAATTTCATATCAGGCCTAGACCCAAATTAGGTTGATCCTGGTTCTTTTCCTTTCATGGGCCGACTATACCAAAGTCCCTCAGTCATTAGTGTGTGGGTAATTATGTGTGGCTTTGCCTGTCTGTTCTGTCCCCAAGGATAGATGTTTTTATCTTTTAAAAATGCTTTATTAAAATATGTACAAATCATAAGTGTATATTGTAATATATCATTTTTTAATGAAGCAAGTTTAATTTTAATATTCTGATTTATTACTTGCCTGATGTTAACCTTAAAAATAAAAATCAGTTATTTTACGGGCAAAAATGGTTTTGTTTTGTTTTGTTTTGTTTTTCAGGAGTACCAAATGCTCGCAATTAGGGATATGCAAGCTAGGGCAAAACCACAGGCAAGTCCAGAGAACAAAGGTGAGGAAGGGAAAAGAAAGAGAGGAACACTCTTGTATACAGGAAAGGGGAGAGTTGGGAAGACTAACAAAAAGGCCATGGGAATAAACTTGAAGTTAGGAGTATAGTGGCTTCTCATTGGCTGGGCTATTGCTGGGGGAGGAGGAAAACCTTCCCTCCACATGCTGGGATAGTAAAGTAGTCTCCAAGTGCAAGGTCCCTTTTTACCTGTGAGGTCTGCAGTTGACCAGGAGTGGTGGGACATGAGAGCTCCTCCTGCTGGCTTCCCTCCATGTTAGTGAGGTTTCCTTTTATTAATTTTCACACTGAAATAGCTGAAAACTATTTTACTTAGTTCTCAAATTCTTTCACAAGAATTTTGCAAGATTCACAAGAATTGAGCAATATCACAAGTTCATGTGGTAAGTTGTCTCTTCCTTACACTTGGTTCAAAAAATCGTGCAGAAGGGGCGCCTGGGTGGCTCAGTCAGTTAAGCGTCTGCCTTCGGCTCAGGTCATGATCCCAGGGTCCTGGGATCAAGCCCTGCATTGGGATCGCTGCTCAGCGGGGAGCCTGCTTCTCCCTCTCAAACTCCCCCTGCTTCTCCCTCTCTCACTCCCCCTGCTTGTGTTCCCTCTCTTGCTGTATCTCTCTCTGTCAAATAACTAAAAATCTTAAAAAAAAAAAATCCTGCAGACAAATAATGACCTTGAGAAAAGTGCCATTACCCTGCAGGTCCTATCTCTCCTCAATATATTACTTGCCCTACCTGGGGATTTTTTTTTTCCAGCCCAGAAACTCTCCAACAGTTCATGCTCTTAACGCCATGTCTAGCTTTACTGGTAGACTCTGGGTAGGCAGGCCTGTTTCCATTCATGCCTAAAGTGTCCAGTGCCCTTCTTCTTGAGCATTCATTATACCTTTAGAAAAGTTTGTTCAGCAAATCAAGTTGATTCCTTACTTATTAATTGGAAATACTCTTTGTACCTAATTTCTGTAAGGAAAATTGCTGTGAGAAATTTTTTTATACCTGGCTGAATCACTTTGTCATCCATATCTTTTTTTACTTTGATGGGTCCATTTCCCTTAAAAATAGAGGATAGAAGCAAACGGCAAAAGATGTGAAGACAAGAAGTAGGAAAGAATTGAAATGGTCAAAAGAAAGACAAGATGAAAATGACTTTATCCCAGTGAACTTGAAGTCATTTCCTTGCAGTGTAAGCTCAGTGATGCCAGGTGGGAGTGGTACCACAGCTGGGGTTCCCACCACATCTGGCAGACTCTAGGGATTCTACCTTTTCCATTACCTCATGGCGTTTAGTTGAAAGTTCATAGTCCTCCAGTGTCCTGTAATGACTAGACCACAGCAGGATTGAATTTGATACTGGAAGCAGCATTTTATGAAGGACTTTGATAAACTGGGCCTATACTAAGGTGGGAGACTCGGATGATGGAGAGCCTAGAAATTATTGTCTCATGAGAAGGGTTGGAAAAATCTGTGTATGTTTTTCTGGAGAGGAGATAGTTGCAGAGCTATGTGGAAGCATGTGTCTGGTAAAAAGGAATTTAAATTGTTGTTTTCTTCTATGGACTCTAGAACTAAAACCAGGTAGAAATGATAGAGTAACAAATTCTGACTAAAATACTTTTTTTAGGGGCACCTGGGTGGCTCAGTCGTTAAGTGTCTGCCTTCA